GCTCCTCCCTTCACTCTCTGCTTTCTGGCTACCATGATGTGAGCAGCTTCTCCTCCGCCATCCCTTGCCATGCTGTTTCCTCCTTGGAGCCAGCCAGGCATGGACCAAAACATGAGCCCAGACAAACTTCTTTAAATTGTGAGCCCCAGTTACAAGGAAAGTGATGAAGACAAGCAGCATCACGCCAATTTTCCCATTGTCTAGGAGGTATCTAAATATATATGCATATACTTACATATTTATAGTTTTATATATCCTAGTACATTCTTTATCCAAGCCAAGAAGTAAAATGTTTGTTTTATATAGAAACTTTCTAAAATACTGTTTTAAAATAACATGGCATCATAAAATCTAGATAATATTATGGTTCCTCTTTAGGAATAAGAACTTCATAACTGGGATTGGCCATCTAGTCTAATACCAAGATTTAAAAGAAACACACACACACAAGGACACATGCATATTTCCACACGTTAAAAAACGATTTACTCCTAAACCAGAATGCACAGTGACATGGAGGTTAGTGAAGATAGGCACGAAAATGGGCTGTAACCTTCAGCTCATTGCCAGCACGGCCAAGAGGGAAAAAAAGGGCAGCACATCAGTGATGACCATGTGGCCAAAAGCTCCAGGATAGCAGAAGGATCCCCAGGAAGCGAGACCGTGGTTTATCTGCCTGACTCCACCTCCAATGCAAGTGGGGAAGGTTTAAGTTAGGTGCGCTTCTGAGTCCACTGAATTCTGTCTGCACCACTTGCAGTACAAGGTCCTTCATTATACTGTTAATATTATAGTCCAGGAATAACAAGATTTGATTGAATACACTGAATAAGTAAGAATTTTGCATAAAGGGACTGAAAGTGAGAACGAATATGAAAGGGATGCAGAAGGAGAGGGATGCACAGATAGACACACGGGGCTGCACCCAGTACAAGGGACAGTGACCTTTGGGACCAGTCCTGGGTCAGTGGAGCAGAGCACAACCAGGTATGCACTGAAGCACTGTGTTCTTGCCCCTGTAAACTCGGGCAGTTCTGCTTTATTTGATCCAGGGAGGATTTTGGTTTTGTTTCTTATTTTTTATTATATCTTTCTCCAGTGTTTCAATGTACTATTCTGAATATATAGAAGAAGTCAAAAGTGAAAATGAAATGAAAATACTACTCCTAAAGTCAATAATTTTTAATATTTTGTCACATTTACTTTGTATGTGAAAGTTTATTTATTTATTTAAACTTTTTTACTTTCGGATTTTTTTGAGATAGGGTCTCAGTATATAGTTCAGACTGGCCTTGAATTCATGGTGTAGCCAAGCCTGGCCTTGAACTCATGAAGATCATCGTGCCTCAGCCTCCTGAGTGCTGGATTACAGGTATGCGCCACCACACCTGACTAAATACTTTAAATATTTTTTTAAACATATCTTTGGCTGAACCATTTTAAAATTGCAGACATGATGATACTTTGTTCCTAAATACTTCATTTATTTTTAGAGCATCACCAAGGAGCTTAGTTACTGAGGACCACACTGATTGCTACACCACATGCTGCATGAAGTGATTCTCTGGTAAGTTCAATGAACTTCTAAAACTTTGATATCAAAAGCAAAGTTAAAATTATAGTTAATGTCCCATAAGAGACTTTTAGATATAATATCAATGAGGGATGAAACAGCTTTTAACAAATGAATAATGTGACTATCAGCATTTTCCGCAAGAATTTCTGACATCTTATCTTAGCAAATAAATATATTACTCAGAATAGCCTGTCACTTATCAGACAACACTAGGTTTTTTTTTTTTTTTTTTTTTTTGCTAAGGATGAATAAAAGAAATATGAGTAAGAACATTTGGGTAGTTACTCTAAATCAATTCCAGGAAAAATACATATGAAATTGGGACGATGGCATCTATATCCTCCATCTTATAAACACATGTATTATTTCTGTATAACAGAACAAAGAAAGAAACAAAGAAATGAACACAAAATTAAAAACAATGGAAAACATGGAAAAGAAATGAATAACAAGGGGAGCTGGGGATTTAGCTCAGCAGCACAGCACCTGCCTGGCAAGCGCAAGGTCATGAGTTCGATTCCCAGTACTGGAAACAAACAAACAAACAAACAAAAAGAAATGAGTAACAAGGAATTCTGATATCATTCAGCAATGAAGGTACATAAATTATGATCAGGACTATAGACTTCATTCTTATCATTCAGCAATGAAGGTACATAAATTATGATCAGGACTATAGACTTCATTCTTATCATTCAGCGATGAAGGTACATAAATTATGATCAGGACTATAGACTTCATTCTATCAGTTAAAATCCAAAAATCTGGTTGGGCATGGTGGTGCACAGTGTAATCTCAGCACTTGGGAGGCTAAGGCAGGAGGATTCCCATAGGTTCAAGATCAGCCTGAACTACATAGCAAGACCCTGTCTCAAGAAGAAATTTCAAAAATCTGATTTATAGATGTATAGAAGTTTGTTGAGAAATCCGTACATTTCCCAGGAAAAGTCTATGCCAGTTCATCTTGTTGCTTGACTGGGCTGTGAGACTCATGAGGGTACTCACCTCATCAGCGGGTTTACCCATTACCAAGTTCATCACAGGATGGGCTATCAGGTTGTCAGACATAGGTGAAGGAAGTGGGTCAGCAGGTCAGGGTGGAGGGAACTTTGTGGACCAGATATAGTCCCCAGCCACTTTTTTCTGCCACTGTTTTCTTGCTTTGCTTCCTAGCTACCGTAAACAGAGCAGCTTTCTTCCACAGTGTCCTTCTGCCATAACATTTCTGCCTTGTGGGCAACTGCTCATGGACTGAAACCTCTGAAACTGTGAGCCACAAAAACATTTTGGTACTTCGGTCTAGTAACAGAAAAGTAATGATACAGGTCAATTATGCAAATGAAAAAAGTGATTGAAATGTAGTACATGTGGATATTAAGTAAACCAGTTTGCAACTGTAGGCCCACACTTACTGTAACACTATTCACTATATGAACTCTTAGGTCAGTGTAGTGGGAAAAAAAAACCCTGTATGATTAATATCAAGTGAAATATTCTGACAAGTAAAATTATTTGTGGAGGAAAAACATAATCTGTCACTTACACAGTATGTTTTAAATCATAGGGGTAATAAAATAACAAGTGAGGCAGTATAATACACCTGTGACAAAGAAAACAGAAATTGTCAGTTTACCTTGTTAAACTATCAGATAACCTTTCTAATTCTTCACATTTCATGTAAAATACTTTAAAAAGAATCCTGGAAACAAAGTGACAACACAGACTGAGAAATAAGTTTGACAAGGCAATAAAAAACGAGACCTACACACATATTGGTATATGATGTGGGATTGATTAAAGACATAAATACTTGTAATATATTTATACTTAATCAGACCAAACTGACTCAAACATTTCATAACGTCCTCAGCTGCTTCCCATTATTAGAGGCTTTGCTCATACTATTTCTGATTGTCACTAGCAAGATAGCTTATTTGAGAACTACTTTCTTTTCTCCCAGGTGCTAATGCACATACTAGTTTGTTCACATCATTACCGTCCACTCTGCTGCCTTCTTAGGCAGGAAGGAAGAGGCTAATGGTTGATGAGGGCATAGTATTGTACTGCTGAACAACACGACTAATCAATGGAGTATGCTGAATTCAGCATCATGAAATTGATTCAATGCTAATTCTGAAATCAAGTTTATGCTTTAATCAGGGAGAAACTGATATGACTATTCTCTTTTTAAAAACAATATTAGTGACTGAAAGCTAATACCAACTATCTTGTGTCATCTCTAGGGTAACTTTAGTGAAAGGCTGGGGATGTAGTTCAGTAGAGGAGTACTCGCCTAGGATATATGTGATCCTGGATTCAATTTACAGCATTGCAAAGAAACTTTAGTGAGACCCAAGGCAGAAAATTTGGCTGTGTAGATTCTGATGCTTGTTTAGCCACAGAGCAGAAAGGAAGCATTTCCTCTCATGAAACGGCCCCATCTGACTGGTCCTCTTGCTGCCCTTTCAGGGATGTGTCCTGCAACACACTTTAGCATTAGCTTCCCACTTCCCACGCCATGCTACTTCTCATGTCTTGTGATTTTCCTCAAAGTAGATCTTTTTTCTTCAGAGGTGGCAACTAAAAGACCGTGGTGATCAAGAGAGAATGCAAACAGAAGGGTTGGAAGGAGCTTGCAGTTATAGCCTACCTCCTCTTATGTGGGGACAAAATTGTGAAACACTAAAAAAACTTTAATTTGCAACTCTACAACTTAGGTGCTAATAAAAACAAAGCATAAACATTGAGTACATCACTTTGAACTACTCTGAAAAATCTGTCCTCTGTCCAGACTTGTCCCTAGGTGGCAAGCCCCATTGTTAAATAGGGCTAGAAATTATAGGTATAGAACCTCAAGGCAAAACCAGTGCCAGTTTGTAAGGATTTGTTCTCTTGCTCCTGAGGTGTACCATGTTACTGACTTCCTTTCTCTCCCAAGAGGTTTGGGCTACATGGGAATTGCCTTAGCTACTTTCTCAGTGCTGGTATAAAATACTTGACACCCACAAGTTAGTAGAAGGAAGGTTTTTATTTTAGTTCATAGTTTGTAGAGATATCAGTCATTTGGCTGCAAAACAAGGCAGCATGGCAGAGTGGCATGGCAGAAGAGGGTTCCTCATGTCATGGCAGTGGGAAGCAGCAGCAAGCCACCAGAGAAGTAGATTAGATATAGGTATATAGATATTTCCAGGCCACACCCACAGTGACCTACCTCTTCCAACCTTGCTTTGCTGGCCAACATCACACCCAGCTATAAAACCATCCATCAGTGGACCAACCCAATATCACACACACCCGTGCTCTGGTCACCTCTCAAGAGCCACACCTAGAAGCACATGAGCTTTGGCAGAACATCTAGATATAAGCGTAACAAGAAAAACCCTTCTTTTGGCAGTACCATCAGCATCCAAACAGTGTCTCCACTATATAGTAAGGATGACTGCTCAGAAGTCTAAAGTATCTAGTGATGTTGAATGGCCCTGTCTGCCAAGTTGAGCCTGACCACATCTAGAAGCAGATACTGTTTTTTTTTTTCTTCCAGTACCAGGAATCAATCTCATGACCTTGTGCTTGCTAGGCAGGTGCAGTGCTGCTGAGCTAAATTTCCAGCCCCAGAAGCAGATATTGTGATCGTGTAACAACACAGGGGACCATAAGCTCCTGATCTCAAACCAGATGGGTCATTGTCTTAAAAGTGAGATATATAGCAGGATGTGTGCTGAGAATTTTTTCATATTTTGATATTTAGGACTGTTCTTCCTATGAGATAAGACAGTCATCCAAAATCATTCTGTCAGCAAGTCTAGTTCTTTAACCATTTGTATATAATCTACCTACAATTGGATGTTTGCCGCTCTAACAGTGCCCTGCATTCACTTCAAAAATAAACTGCTCAGCCATTGTTAACTCGGGATTTCTCACATGTTCAGCATCCTTGCTTTCATGGTCTGACACACTGGGTTTATAAATCTGAGTAGGAAGAAGCAATTTATATTTGAAAATTCCATGACATTTATTTGACTTCCAAAAATAAGTGACAGATATATTAAGATAATTGAATGCATTTCATCTAAACTCCAGTATGTCTGAAGAATGACTGGGCAAGCTCTAGACAGACTGCTGACCCCAGTCAGAGAACTGGAGGAAGTAGGGTGCAGTATGATCTGAGATTTCTGTGTGTGTGCTTGTTGTAGTCAGGACTTTCAAGCGTAACAATACAATACAAGACACACAGTTTATAAGATTGTTTTATAATAGTCACCCAAAGAGTCACATATAAAGAGAGTGCAGAAAATCTGTTTCCACACTAAAAACCAAAGAATCTAGCTGAGGGCCTGGATACCAAGGCAATATTCTGCATGAGTCCAGCTAAAGACCTCGGGCCCATAACAGTGCCCCCCATGAGTCCCACTGGAAGCCAAGAGCTCATGATGTCTCATGCAGGCCTATTTCTCGGATCTGCACTGTGAAGGCCCAAAGGTCAGTGGTGGAAGCTAAAAAGTCTGGGAGGAACGATCTGTATTAGTAGGCTGAGGGAGCTGCACTGGAGCCAGGAAGCAATGCTTAAAGTAAGAACCAGAGCCTCACCAACAGGTACCATAGCCATCCTCAGCGACAGTGCAGTTCAGGGCTCCTCCAGTGATAACAGCTGAGTTCATCAGGAAGCCAGCATGACAAGCTCCTCCAGGAAAACCAACTGCTCCCTACAGCTTCTAAGCTTCCTCTCCAGTTCTGCCTCTTACGCTGCTGGTAGTAATCTCTCAGATGGGCCTTCCACATCCAGCACCTTGCTGGTTCATTTCAGCTGGGTGTTACAAGTTGACTACCAGTTGTCAATCTACCACAGTGCTGAAATTAAACCTGGAGCCTCACACATGCCAGGCACACACTGACATATGCCTTCATCCCAAAGAGAATTTGTACTTTCAGCAAGCTTTGAATGCAGCCAGTTCATGCTGTGCAGTAGTGTATGGTGGAGAAACAAGCTCTGA